GGAAATGCTGAAGAAACTTATTATACCAAACTTGCCAAAGTAACCTGCATATTAAAAGTAAATCAGAAAGCCTCTGGAACAATTTCAGAAAAGTAAGCTACTTAAAAAGACTGGCATGTCCTCAAATTCAAATTGTGTAGAAAATACACTAAGCGACATTTTACAACCAAGGTAAGGAGTAAACTGTGAAAAGAAGAAAAGGGGGGGGGTGAATGGGATAGATGGATGCTGCAAAGTCAGACAAGGAATGTAGCTGCTGGGAGAATTAATTCCACAAGGACAGACCTCAAGCCACCATTATTATTCTTCCCCTTCCCCCACCAAGAAAAGCAATAAACAAGTTCCACAAGTAAATGATGCATAACCAAGTAAATGATGCATAACCAACTGCCATTATAGGTGGGTTTTCTTACAAGAAATACATTCAAATATTGTCTGAAAGGAACACAAAATTATCAACTTTCAGATATGATTAGGGTTAAATACAGAAAATGTATGCAAAGCAAAAGGCAATAAGATAAATGACAATAGATCTATGCAAAGATGAAGAAATTAGAAAGTAAGGTAAAGAACTAGCTTTTAATATTAGCAAAGACACAGGTAAATACACTGTGTACCTCATTACTCTACTTCCATGAAACAGTTTGGCACAGAGGAATTTGTTAGATTAAGGGAACAGGGAAAGTATAAGATAACATTCTTGCTTCATAATATCTCAAAGAACAAAACTCCAAGGGTAGCCTAAATATTCAATAAAAACAATTTAGTAATAAAAAGCATGCCATTACTTTTTATTAGTATAAATATTTAAATGAACTGCTCAAAATAACAAGATATTCAATACACATAAAAGAACCAGAATATCTCCCACAATACCTCAACCTCAAACACACAAATAGAATTTTTTTATTTTTTATTTATATCCCGCTTTTACTTTTTTTTACAAATAACTCAAGGCAGCAAACATATGGAACACACCTTCCTCCTCCTCATTTTCCTCACAACAATCCTATGAGGTAAGCTGGGCTGAGAGAAAGTGACTGGCCCAAGCTCACTCAGCTTTTCATAGCTAAGGCAAGACTAGAACTCAAGATCTCCTGCTTTCTAGCCTAGTGCCTTAACCACTACTAGATAGACCAAACTGGCTCTTTACCTCACATCTTTCACATCTTGTCACCATTTAATGTAACTTTTTAAAATTTGCTTCTTTTTGTCATTGTCCTTTTCAGCCAGGGTGTTCAAAATTAGACTGAGTATTCCAAGTAGGAATTGACCAATGCAGACTAGATTGGATTTATTATTTCCTGTGTTCTAAAATCTTTAATCCTGCTAATACATTCCAAAATAACACATTCCTACATCACACTGCTGGCTCATATTTAATTTGGGATCAACAAAAATGCCCAGATCCCTTTTACATGCACTGATACTAAGACAAGTCTCCTCTCTCCATATCATCTACTTTCCCATTTTATACTGCCCCATCCTATCCATTTTCCTATCCAATTGCAGAATTTTACATTTCTGTCACTTAAATTCCACTTTATACATTTCAGCCTAGTACATAAATTGTCTAGGTCTTTTTAAATAACACATTTAAGCTGTAACAAAAAAGCAGAAAGACACTGCTTTACTGTACATAAACCTAATAAACAATTTTTTGTGAATGAATGTTCTAGCACAGTGGTTCTCAACCTTTTTAATGCCGTGACCCCCAACCGGTCGTAAGTCGAGGACTACTCAACCGGTCGTAAATCAAGGACTATTCAACTGGTGCAGTACCGTTTGCAGAATGGGACTTTTGGCGGGCTCAGCAGGGCAGAGACAGCCTGGACAATTCCTATTGGCTTTTGAAAGCCAATAGAATTAGATTCTATTCAAGAGAGTCTATTCTATTGGCTTTCAAAAGCCAATAGAATAAAAGGGAGTAGCACAGCTAAGGAAAAGGGGGAAAAAATGGCGAACTGCGTTGTTTGGCGACCCCCGTGAAATGGTCGTTCACCCCAAATGGGGTACCAACCCACAGGTTGAGAACCACTGTTCTAGCATTTTGCAGAAGTATTATTAAAAGTTTTTAAAGTTCTAAAATTTGTCAATTAAATCAATCAACTTCCATGTAACTAATGTCTTACACAGTATTCAGGTCTTTGCAAAGACACCAAGCTCATATCTATCCTTTCTAGAACTATTCAACATTTAAAAACAGCATTAAATATTTCTAATGAAAACCTGTCACTTATCTTGGCCCAAGATTGTATTTCCACAATTGTCCCAGATTCTTGGGACAATTAGTGCTATACAAGTCAGCATTGTTACTATAAGTATTGTTACTATATGTATACCAGAACTAAGTAACTGTACCCTTTGTGGATTCAAAGCTTATTTGCATTTAAATTGAGGATTCCAGGAAGGACACGCATATCAGACAAAATATAAAACCATCACAGTTATCAATATAAAGAATTTAATATGCACTTAATATGCATGCATTTGGGGGGAAAATCATTAAGTCCTGCCTGTAGGTTTAGATTTCTAAAACAAAACCTCCTGTGACAACTGAGGTGAAAACAGATGGGAAAGTACCAAGTACGTATTTTACCTAGAACAGAAACCAAAGTGAAAGAAGAAAATAATTCAGCAAAGCACTAATTAGCTAGAAATATGAAAGAAACAACACCAAGTAATGCATCAAAGAGGGAATCAGAGGAAAGAAGACATTAGTTTTTAATAATTTCTTAATTTAAGATTAAGAACAGGCCAACTGAATATTTAAGGAAAACTAATTAAGAGGTTGCATCAGGAAAATTTAAGAGACAATAAATAACCAGAATATAAGTTTGGTATGAAGACTGGCATGTGATGAATAATGGGCCCAAGCAAAAGAAGGAACTGCAACAAGCATGAAATTCTTTACCTGTCACCAAATACTGAAACTACTGAAAGCAATAAGTAAAATAAATGAACATTACCATAGTCAATATGAATCGGGATGAATTTCTGAATGCCTCTTAATCTCTTTCACAGAGCGAATAAGACTTCGGGCTGCAAGTTCCTGACACTGAATTTATAAAATGTTAGTAGCTATGTTAATAAATGGATCTAATCACCACAGCTTCATTTGGACAAACTGAAGGGCAAGTGTAAATAAAACATGTAGACTATTTATTTGATGCTTAAAAACATCTTATAAGAAGATCCCAGATATAAAAATCTCCCTCAGGAATACATGACCAATATACGAAATAAATTATATGCATCCAAAAAAGTGGATCAGTTCTTCTCAAGGAACAATTGAGTGACATAATATTGTCTTCCTATTGGTATGATTTTTGCAATACTAGCATATTCAACCACAAATCACCCCTACGTTAACTGTGTGTGCAAGCCAGGTGGATGGGATATTATCAAATTCTCTAACTAAGATGAATACCCTCTTGCACCCGGTCAGCATACCATTACACAACCCTGCCCTCAGCCTCTTGCTTCCTAGTATTCTACTTATGCAAGACAAGTTCCATCTCATAAGAGCTTGGGCCTTAAGAGGGAGGATAATTTTATTAAGATGACTCATTATGACTATTATACTGTTATGACCAACATACTTTCATATGTGTTACATGAGTAATTTTTTATTGCTCATAGTTTTGACCCTATGTTTATAATCAATAGTTTTAATATAATTGTTTTTACAATGAGCAACAAGAACAATAATAAATAAAATACATGCAGGTTGTCCTAGACTTACCACAGTTTATTCAGTGAGCGTTCAGAATTATGATGGTGCCGAATGAAGGGACTTAGGACTCTTGCCCAAAGTTACAACCATTGCAGTGTCCGAGACACGTGAACAAAATTTCAAGTGCTAGGCAACCTGCCTGCCGTTATGACTGACTGCAGGGACGCTGCGGCAACCTCCCACCTACTGTCCTGCCATCCCACCCTACTTGGGCCTGCTTCCCACCGTGCAGGGTCCCACACTGCAGCCATATTTATAAATTAAGGCTTCACTTTACAACCTCTGGAAGGTAATCCCTTGGGCAATTAAATAATTCAGAATTCCTAAAGCAGGGTTTTTAAGAAAAGGGGGCATGGATCCACTGTATCCAATATTTTCCCCCCCAACATTGAGAAGAGATTTACAATATCTCTTCCCCAATGACGAAATGAGAAAATTCTTTTCCTTCTCTCTAATGTTAGAACCCACTGAATTGGATGCCAGGACTGCTGTTAGGTGTGGTTAACCAAAATATTTGGATAATTGGGAATTTAAGTAATTGAAAGCATTATTACTAAGAAGTTATACTGATTCTGAACTACACAGTGGATCTAACTGAAGCAAGTTATTATTAATAAATACACTCTGATTTACAGTTTTATGAACTGAGAAATATAATTCTGAATTATATTTAAGCTATACATTTTGCCCTCAGAAATAAGATCTGTGGTCAGTCTTAACCTTTGTACTGCAGAAGATCTTCAAACAAATTAGATTTTTATGTAGCATACCCACAGAGCATGCCGAAAACCACACTCTTTATATCTCAAACTATTGGATCGCCTCTTACCTCAAACACAGTATTTGAAAATTCATTAAGATTCAGCGGAAAGCCAGTGTTACAGATTTGCAAAACTGAATCTACCATGCATTTCAGCAGGCAACCTCCCTAATTATTTTTAACCAGCCACATTAATTATAGATAAAGCATAACACTGTAAAGTTTTATAATGTTAAAAGCTATAAAGTTTAAAGTTTATAAATTTTTAAAGAATTCTGAGTTGGAAAAATGAAACTTTTAAATGTTTTGTTTGGCGGTTAATCAGGGTGCTCTTCTATGACTTGCAATTCCTCATACCATGTTTTATTTAAATGTAAACATACGTTCAGAGAAAAATACCTTGAGAAAACAGAATTTGTGAGAAGAGATTGTATTTTGTTTGGCAAGATGAAAATAACCGTGATCCTGCAAATGAATGTGAAAGTTTAAAGAAAAGATACTTACCCGTGAGCTGGATCCACAGCAATTGCTCTTGGCTGGTCAAGATCTTGCCAGAAAAGAACTTTCCTAGATGTTCCATTGAGGTTAGCAACTTCAATCCTATTTGTTTCTGAGTCAGTCCAGTACAATTTTTTCCCAATCCAGTCACATGCCAGGCCATCTGGAGAAAGCAATCCTGAAACGATGACACTCTGTACAAGACTCCCAGTTTGGTTAAAATAAGTCTGTTTGATGGCTTCTTCGCTCACATCTGTCCAGTAAATGACATTTTGTGAGTAAAGGAAGTCCACTGCAGCAGCATCTTCTAAGCCACTGACTACAACTGTTGCTTCCATCTTCACTCCACCAGCATCCACCAGTCTGACATCTCGACGGTTTGCAAAAAGCAAGAGAGGAGAAGCTTTAAAAAAGAAGCAAAATAACACTCAATATAAGAGATCGAAAATCTGTATTGTATCATTGGATTCATTAAATGTATCAAATATACATAAATAATACCTAAGCAAACATCATCCTTTTATTAGTGTCTATCCTAATGGGAATCCTTACAATTCTAAGTTCCCAATCTATTTCCTATTGGAAAGGGGCGTGGACTTACCTGAACGCCTTTTCTCAGCACGGAGATGGATAATCCACGCAGTGGGTTGAGACTGTATTCCTGGCCAATCAGATCAGTCAGCCAAAGTTGCCATTGACTGACAGTAAGACGTTTTGGCTCCACTAAATATACCCTATTATCCTAGTCTATAAGGGTGGGTGTGGATTATCCATCTCCGTGCTGAGAAAAGGCGTTCAGGTAAGTCAACGCCCCTTCTCCAGCACTGGAGATGGATAATCCACGCAGTGGGACATACCAAAGCCTATTGTCCCTTGGGTTGGGGAATAGACTGGTCCCGTGTGTAACTTTGGTCTAGAACCTGCTGGAGAACCCTCCTACCGAAGGAGGCCTCTGCAGAGGAGTACTTGTCGATTTTGTAATGACGAATGAATGGAGAGGGCGAGGCCCAAGTGGCTGCCCTGCATACCTCTTCAATAGAAGCCTGCATGGCCCATGCTGCTGAGGTGGCAGCACTCCTTGTGGAGTGGGCCGTGATATGCTTGGGGACTTGCAAGGACTCCGCCTGGTATGCCCCAGTGATGCATGCCCTAATCCACCTACCGATGGTAGAGGACGAGACCTTCCGGCCCCTAGTAGCGGGGTGGAAGGATATGAAAAGCACTTCCGAGCGACGGAATTCCGCTGTGCGCGAAATGTAATGTCTTAGTGCCCTTCGTACGTCCAAGGTGTGCCATTGTTGCTCCAGGGGATGAGCTGGGTTTGGACAGAAGTCTGGTAGGACTATTTCCTGTGATCTGTGAAAAAAGGAGTTGACCTTTGGAATGAATGAAGGGTCTATTCTTAGGACTACCTTGTCCCTGTGAAAATGACACAGGTCCTTCCTCGTTGAGAGAGAAGCTAACTCGGATATCCGTCGAGCTGACGTGATAGCTACTAAGAATGCTACCTTATGGGTCAGGTAGCGAATGTCACATGTTTTGAGTGGTTCGAATGGCGCTCTGGTAAGAGCTTGTAGTACTCGTGGTAGTTCCCACGATGGATACCTGCGCACGGTTGGCGGTCTGATGTTCGCAGCCCCCTTGAGGAAGGATCATATTAAGGGATGCTTGCCCAAGGATTCACCGGGGCTGGCAGAAAGTATAGTTGAGAGGGCGACGATTTGCCTGCGCAGCGTGTTTGGCGAGAGGTCCCTCTCTAGGCCATCTAGTAAAAATTCTAGGATCTTGGGAATTGTGATCCCTTCGAGTAACAATTCCTGTTTAGAGCACCATGATTGGAAGCTTCTCCACGTGGCCTCGTAGACACGGTTCGTGGAGGGGCGCCTTGATGCCTGTATGACCCTAATCACACCCTGTGAGCAAGCCCCCTTGGCTAAAATTGACCGTTCAAGAGCCAGACGGCTAGTTGTAGCCATTGTGGCTCTGGGTGGGAGATCTCCCCCTGCTTGAGGGAGATCCTCTCCGGAGGAATCCGCCATGGATTCGTGCGGGAGAGACTCCTCAAGTCTGCGAACCAAGGTCTCCTTGGCCAATAAGGGGCCACAAGGATTACCTCGGCCCTTTCCCGCAGAATCTTGCGTACTACCGCCGGAAGGAGAGGTAAGGGTGGAAACGCGTACAGGAGTCCCTTTGGCCATGGGCTCCGTAACGCGTCCGTCTGCTCTGCTCCCCTGGATGGGAATCGGGAGAAGAAGCGAGTTAGGTGGGCATTGGAAGGAGAGGCAAAAAGGTCCACCTGGGGAAGCCCGAAGCGGTGACAGATCTCCCTGAAGATCCTCGGGTGTAGTTGCCACTCCGAGTGATCTATTGTTGATCTGCTCAACAGATCTGCTTGGATGTTTGCCTCCCCCGATATGTGGTCGGCCTTTATGGAGGCCAGATTTTGTTCCGCCCAGGCCCCCAGTAGGAGGGCCTCGGCCGAGAGCGAGCGAGAGTGTGTGCCCCCCTGACGGTTTATGTGGGCCTTGGCTGTCACGTTGTCCGTCAGGACCAGTACGTGCCTGCCTTTTATGCTGCTGTGAAAATGCCTTAACGCTAGGTGAATAGCCCGCAGCTCGAGCCAGTTTATGTTGTGTCGGAGATCCACCGCTGACCAGCGGCCCTGTGTCCACTTGGTCCCCAAGTGGCCTCCCCAGCCGAATAAGCTCGCATCTGTTGTGACTACTACTCTGTCTGGTTCCCTGAAGGGGGACCCCCTGAGGAGAGCTGGAGATAGCCACCACCTGAGGGAGTGTCGTACTCTCAGAGGTATGCCTACCCTCTTCCGGGATGCACTGATTTGCTGTCTCTGAAACGGGAGCATGAACCACTGCAGTTCTCTTGAATGCAGCCTTGCCCAAGGAACTATTGCTATGGTCGATATCATCTTCCCTAGCAGTTGGGAGAGGCAGACCAGCGTCACTGACTGACCGCGGCTTACCTGTTTTACGGCTTTCTTTATGCTGCTGAGACGTTCCCGTGATAGATACCCCTTGCACTCCTTTGTGTCTATGACCGCTCCCAGATGGAGTATTCTCGTAGTTGGGGTTAGATGGCTCTTTGGAAAGTTCACCGAGAAGCCGTGGTCCTGCAGCATTTTTATCACTAACTTTAGGTCCGCCCGAGACTGCTGGGCGGACGATGACTGGATTAGAATATCGTCCAGGTAGCACTGGACTCTGACTGGTACGTTTCTTAGGTGTGCTGCCAGAACCGCCAGAATCTTGGTGAACACCCTGGGCGCTGATGACAGGCCGAATGGAAGTGCCCTGTATTGAAAATGGTGCCCCCTGTAGGCAAACCGTAGAAAACGGCGGTGAGCCAGAGAGATAGGGATGTGCAAGTATGCCTCCGTGAGGTCGATCGATGCCAGAAAATCCCCTTTCCTTACGCTTCCAAGGATGGAGCGTAGTGTCTGCATTTTGAATTTGCGGTATTTTATGTAGAAATTTAGCCTTTTTAAATCCAGAACGGCTCTCCAACCCCCCGAGGGTTTTGGGACCACGAAGAGGATAGAATAAAACCCCTGGTCTCTCTGGTTCATAGGCACCGGCTCTACGGCCCGTATGTTTAGAAGGTGCTGAACGGCCTCGTTCATGAGCCTTCTCTTTGTTGGGTTTGTGGGACAGGGGCACGGGCGGAAGCGGTTCGGGGGCTTTGAGAGAAATTCTAGAGATAGACCATGACGTATGGTGTTCCTGACCCATACGTCCGTGGTGGTCTCTTCCCACTGGGGAGCAAACCCTGCTAGTCTGCCCCCTATGGGAAGGTCTGGGTGGGAGTCATCTGGTACGGCGGAAGGGGCGGTTGCTCCCCCGAAAGGGCCGTCTTCCCTGCGTTTGCCTATGTCTTGTGTTCTGTCTGTCCCCCTGTCTTTCCCTATCCTGTCTAGCTTGGACGGGTTGAGAATTTTGAAAGTAGTTGACCCTGGCTTCCGTACGAAAGGATTGTTTCCTTCCCCAGGAGCCGGGTCTCTTGTCCTGCCTTTTAAGCATGTGTTTAAGGACCTTGCGCTTGTTCTCTGTCAGGTATGGCGTTAGTGCCTCACCAAACAGCTTTGCCCCTTGGTACGGAGCCGAAGCCAATTTCCACTTGGATTTGGTATCCGCCTGCCAGTTCTTTAGCCAGAGGATGCGCCTGCTCGTGTTGTTTGCCGCCATTGCCTTGGCTGAAAACCTGGTCGCTAAAAGTGTCGCGTCCGACGCATATTCCGTGGCCGCTACCATTTTGCTGAGTTCCTGGTGAGTGCGTATATCCTCCATGGGAACCCGGCCCTGTAACTCACGGAGCCAACAAAGTGTGGCTCTGGTGAAAAAGGACGCGGAGGTAGTCGCCCTGGTAGCCCAAGCTATTGCCTGGTGCGTTCTCCTGTAGTTGGACTCACTCTTTTGGTCCTCGGTTTTAAGAGCCTCAGCAAAATCTCCTGATATGGCCGTGTCCGATATCAGGGGACCTATGGGTTCGTCCACCAGCGGCACCTCCAATGTTCCCTCTAGCTCCCTTGCTACGTTAAATAGCTTCCTCTCCGCATTGCTAGGAAGCGGTAGGGAGGTTGGCGCTGCCCACTGTTTCCTTATTGTGTTTAGGAACATGGTCGGGCATGTTATGCGGTGTTGAGTGGTTACCTTTTCGGCGAACGTCGGCTCAGCCTCTGTGTCAACTGTGACAGGCTCCGCTGGTGTCCCATGCCCCAGATGGGCTGTGGCCTCAGCCTTGCGCAGAATGGTAACAAAAAGAGAAGGGTTAAACAGGCCGCTGAAGGACGGCCCTTGAGGTGAGGTGTCCTCCTCTTCCTCAGACATTTGAATCCCTTGTGACGTACCTGGCTGGTCCAGGTAATCTTCCTCGGAGACCGACGAGTCTGAGAAGGAGGAGAGGTCCTGATGGTCCTCCGTTTCCTCCCGATACCTCGTTCTAAGTCCTAGAGGCTTGGCTTTGGAAGTTTGAGCCCTTGCCTCAAATGCACGGTCCACTGCCTGCGCTATTAGGGTAGCTAGCAGATCCCCCGTCAATGCAGGAGGAGTAAGCATTGCCTGCGACCCTGCAGGTGCTGTGGTTAGCATGGTCCTTGGGGTTTCCTGTAACCTCCGTGAGGAGGTGGATCGGGAGAGCGATGAGAATTCGCCTATCCCACCCTCTGTTTGGGACTGTGATGAGTTCCCTAATGACCAAATGGCCTGTGGGGATGAAGGGAGACCCAGCGGTAGATCAGGACCTATCCCCCCATTCTGCCTATTTTCAATTCTGGCCCTTTTCTGGGCTCTGTCGAACTCTTTTTCTAGGGCTTGGTGTCTTCTGATTGCCTGTTTGTCAGCCTTCTTTGATGACTTCCTTGCAGCCTTTCTAGGGGCTGCAGAGGATTCC